TAAAGATGAGTAGAAAGGACCAGGGTGTAGTCCCATCAAGAAAACACCTCACAATTATTCTAGAACTACTTATGAGATTTGATGAGCTTCAATAAAAAATATCAGGAAATAATCTTGCAGCGACTCTCTCTCATTTTGACAAAGTTCGTAAAGGTGAGAGGAGTCTTTGATAATCTCTCAATTCATGATAAATTGCTCCACAAATACCTAAGTGAGCTCATAGAATGTAAGAATAATACCCTCTAGGAGTGAATAAAATCAACTTCATGCTTGGCTATTAAGCGTCGTAGGAAAAATTGACAAATGATCGCATCAAAAGCCCATTGTATATGCATGATAATTGGAAAGTGATCAATATGTTCATACAAGTCAAATATCTCATCATAAGACTTAATGCTTGGAAGCTTAAATTGTGCTAGAATTGGGTGAAAGGTGACCTTAGCCAATAGGAATGACTCTTGAGAATTGTGTCTAGCTAAGAAAGAGCTTATATCCATCTAAAAAAACTCCTCTCCCACTAGACATTATAACTCATTGAGGATTTCTGGAGTCAAATTACATTCTCCACACGTGTTGAAGGCTTGCTTCTAAGCTTGATGATGAGAGGTGGATGTGTAGAACTAGCAGTGTCCATGAGTTCAACTTTTTGACAAAGAACTCCAATGTGTGGATGATTCGCCTATGGTGTACCTTTGATTAGTAAATTCTTAGGTGATTTTGCCCTTCCAGTATACATCACTATAGGTTGTCAAGCCTTCCATAAAAAGTTGGAAGATCTAATTCTAGGATTCCTTCTTTATTTGTATATGATCTTCAAGAGGTGTGAGGAAGGTTTCTTAGCTAGCTGGGTGATTTATGTCATTATCAGGCAAAGAAATAAAATCTCAGCATCTCGTACGTCGAGACTATGCCCTAGAATGGTTGGTGCTAGAACTTGAAGCAAATGTAATGAGCTTCCTAACCATAAAAAAAGTACAGACTTCTACAAACAGAACTTTGTTTCTCACAGAAGATGTCAAACTATTGCATGCCATCAAATTCTAAAGTGATTATTTAATTTCTTACTGTTGAACGAAGATCCATCACACATACATATAATAAAAAGACAGTATGAGAAAACACCAAAAGTTTTTATGTGGATAAAGCCAGAAAAAGAAAAATCATGCGGCCTAGCTGAATCAAAGTAATATATTATAATTGTGTAAGAACAAAGTTGCACCCTTTACTCATGACTAAGGGAGTGGGGCAACCCTATACAAGTTCCTTCGGTAAACAAAATTTAGAAAAACAGAGGATTAGGGAACAATCGTCAACTTTTGATTACAACATTCATAAAAAGAGGTCACTGGTGACCGAAATAAAGTGGTGACATAGGTCAGGAGTTATGGAGACCAGAAGTTATTGTTGGGTCTTTTATATAACATTATATCTTAGTGCTATTTTTGGAATACGACTTTAGCAAGGAGGGACCACCGATGATGGTGAGTAGGGGCTACTGACAGTGGTTGTTGGCTACAAAAGCCAAAAGTTTACTTCATGTCATAAATAAGGTGTCATCATTATAGTCGTACTTGGGATACGATGTAACAAGTAGGGGTTGCCAATGACGGCGAGCAGTGGAGGCCGACGGTGGTCAATGGCGGCTGACATGTGGTGGTCTACAGGCAATGGTCGACGGTAGTCGGAGATTACGAAGGCTAGAAGTTATTGTTTATTCTTTAGCCCATAACAAGCTTTGGAATTCCTTTTCTTTTCAGTCCCCCTCAAGTCAAGAGATGGGGTTTATTTATAGATTCTTGGTAAAGGGCATTTTGAACCGTTGGTTAATAACTTTCTCAATCATATGATAGGACAAATCATATTGATCCCCTTTGTTCATAGGGATTTTTTTTAGTGATATGGCTTTAATGGCTTCATTAGTAAGCAAGCTTATGTTTGTTGGTTTACTCTCTTCGAAACGCTCAATTTGTCTATAAATATATCAAATTAGAAGTTCATTTGACCATGCAATTAACGATCAGAAGTCTCCAAATGCACCTTAGTAGCCTGATCTGGACATGATTGGACTCAGATCAAACCAATTTCAATATCATTCTGTTCATCTTCTCAAGACAGACAGTTTGACCATAAACTTGCATAAATTAAAGTCCTGGATCATCTTCAATCTGAATCTAAAACATTTCCTACTTAAAAAAAAAAATATATATCGAGATCTGTATCAAATAATAAAATTAAGGGGCAAATCAACTAATAATCCATCATCGATATTACTGTTTCTCTCGAGTGACATACTTAATGTTGACCACACTTTAAGTAACAACAATTATGAGTGTTAGACCATCCCTACTTAAAACACCACATTGAGAAAAAAATATCACCCTAAATTATCCCATTTTACTTTTGCATTTACAAATAAATATTACCAATTAAAGTAAGGTTAAGGCTCTATTTTTATAGTCAAAGTCTAATCTTGAGTTGTTAAATATTGTTGCTGAATGTAGGGATCATGCTTTTAGTTGCATCATACTTCCTTATGCTAATTGTCTCAATTCTCTAATTTCTTTAACAATAGTTAATTTTTCAATGCCAGCATCACAAATGTCTGACGATAATTATGTTTTTAGTTATTAATTACATATTTATTATTTATTAATAAGACATGCCGACAATACCCCTCACATGCCAATACTAAAAAGCTTTAAAATGTCAACGTGTCATGAGAAATACATTTTTTTTTATTAGGGGCTTCATATCTCGTGATTTAGTTTAATATTTAATCTTAGTAGGGGCTTTGTAAGTAGGACTGTCAAAAAAAAAATCGTTGTTCGTGAATAGCTCGTGTTTGACTCGTACGTTAAGTAAACGGGTCGAAAATGAATAAATTTTTAAAGCTCGAATTATAAACGAGTCGAACACGAACAACTATTTGTTCGCTTTTGTTCGGCTAATTTTAGCTCAAAATAAAAAAATTATATAATTATTTATTATATATATATATATATTTATATCTAAGGTTATATATTTGGTCCAGGTTCGAATCCAACACTTTACATCTTTTTTTTTTCAATTTAATTTTAACGAGTCAATTTCGAGCCGAACACGAACACGAATATTGAAATAAAGTCAAACACGAACACACAGTTGACAAGCCGATTTCGAACACGAGACGATTTCGAATATGAGCAGTTTCGAACGAGCGGAACAAGAGCATAGCCTGAGCTCGCTCAGGCTCGGCTAGTTTACAGCTCTATTTGTAAGAGGATCTGTGTTCACGTCTATGAATGAGATATTCATATATATACCACCCAATCCTTATGTATTTAGATATCCGACACCCAAATTTTAACTTTCATATTTATACCGATCAAAAATTTCATATCACATCAAAAATACCACCACATTAACTTTTGAAAAGTGAAATACTTATAAGGTGGTATGTACGTAAGAAATTGAAGTTTAGATGATAGACCTATAAATAGATAGTTAAAAAAAAGTGACAACGCCAGAAGCATGAGGCAATAAAAAATTCCAACCATAACATGCAACTTCCACTTCCCAAGAGCTTTACACGGATCCAACTTCAACGGAAACTAAATCATGTAAATCACATAATCAAACAAGAAAAAATGTGCATCTAGAAACTATATAAAAATAAAAAAATAATAAAATAAGGTTTTCCATGTTTTAATTCTCCTTTTTTATCTTTATATTTCTAAAAAATTGCATGACAAATGCTTTTTTTTTTTCTTCTGTTTCTATGAGTGCTAAAGAGATTAATTATGATGAAATTACAGAAGGAGGCATTAGGATATTCTCTTTACATGAATTCATTTTGTTTTTAGGCAAAAGAAAAGTGAAACCTTCATGGTTCATTGCTTGAAAAATATTCATGCATTTCACTTTAAATAGACCCAATTGTATACCTTTTAGTTTTGTTTATTTGGAATTCGTAGAAATGACGCCTCCTAAGAGCAATTACGAACTTTTCAAAATAAGTTGGCGTATCTAAGACACTTTATATCTAACTTGTTCGGTAGATGTCAGCCTTTTACTGTGTTGATTAAGAAAGATAACAAGTTTACTTGGGATGATAAATGCCAACATGCTTTCAAAAGTATTAAATAATACTTAGTGACACTTGTATTTGCAGCCCCAATCTTGGGTAAACCGTTGATACTTTATACCGCTACTTTAGATGACTCCCTTGGAGCCCTGTTAGCTTAGGTCAATGATGAAGGTTTATTTAAGTCGTTGTTTGATACAGGCAGATGTGAGGTATCCTTTTATTAAGAAGCATTGTCTAGCTTTAGTTTTTGTTTCTCAAAAGATTAGCCAATCTTATCTCGAAGTTTAATCCGTTGCAATATTTGATAACTCAATCGATACTTTCTAGTAGGTTAGTTAGGTGATCGATGATATTATTGCAATTCAATATAACTTTCGTGTCTCTTCGTGTCGTGAAAGGACAAATTAACAGATTTTCTAGCGTCCACACATTACGGGCATAATCTCCTCTCAACGATGACATGACGGACGAGCATATAATGAATTTAGAAAACCCCAATGCTTAACATAAGGAGATGTACTTTGATAGAACTTCATCAGCACGAAAGGCAACGAATCACATACGATAGTGCCCGGTAAGGCAGGAATTGAGCTAATTTTCATTACACCGAAACAAATAATGTTAAGTTATTCTTATCATTTAACAGAGACGTGTACGAACAATAAAGCAGAATAAAAAGTTTTGATAACTGTATTGGAATTGATAATAATAATGTGAACAACAGATATCAATATTTACGATGACTCACAATTGATAATTCATCAAATTGCTAAAAGATACAAAATTCCGAGGCCGAAATTTCGTCATACATATAAGTTGTGAGAGCATATTTCTAATATAACTAAATTATAACCAGATCTGATAGCTCAAGGATACTTTGATATGATAGGCCAGCAGGCAATTTGGAATTATCTTCCTCCTAAGAAATTGTTCATTTTTCCTGGAAATTATATTCCCGTGATTATTCTGAACGCTATGTTTCCTTCTGCACAGCAATGAAGATGTGAAGAGCTTCAGGCGTCAGATGGAAGAGATTTAGACATATCCCTGCTTGATCTGTTAAATTTCATGTGGCTCTTCACGAGCTGACCAGCAGCGAGAGCGGACATGAGGGACAGCTCTCCAGCTAGAACAGAAGCTGCTACAATGGTGGCCAGAAGCCTGGAGTTGGCTCCTGGGGAATCCAGATTTGCGCCCTTCACGCCAAGGAGATTTAAGCAGGCTGATTGGGAAGCAAGTTGCGTCCCACCACCGACTGTGCCAACCTGAAAAATGAAAAAAAAATGGAAGAATATGAGTTAATAAAAACAAGCTTAAATCATGGTCATGCGTGACATCAAGTAGGCTTATAAATTGGGGCACTTTGCACCCAGGCTTAAGTGTTCTGTAATTTATTTAATATAATTTTATTATTATTAAAAATAAATAAATGAAGAGACATTATTACAAGCCTACACTAAAGTCTTAATTAACTAGATAGGACGAGTTGCAATGCCAACCGCATGGTGGTAGAGTTTGGGCACGGAAATTTCCATGCGAAAGGAGGTTGTAGATCTGGACGAAAAGAAGGATGCCTTAGTAGTAATCTAATGGTTAGTTTATCTCAAACGCAGGGCAACAATTTGACTTAGGGCCAGTCTCCTTTTAATGTGGGGCATCAATCTCAACAGATAGGAATTTTGGGAACTATTTCATCATTTTAATCCCAAATTACATTAAAAAAAATTATCAATTTAGTTCCCAAACCTATTAATATATGATGAAATAGTTCTCAAACTTCTTAAAAGGAGGACTATTTCATAACCAATTGAAAGAGTCTTGAGGAAATTTAGTATTTTTATAAATTATGAAATTAGAATAGCCCAAAGTACACCGTCAAAAAGTCATTTTGACACCTTACTATCTCAAAATAACAATTTATCAAATAAAATCTCTAAGGAAAGAAGAAGAATATAATGGTCGTAGGAAAAGCTAAAATGAGAGGTACCTCAATTGAAGGCATGGTTACAGAGATGTGGAGATCGTTGTTATCATTGACAGCTTCCATCATAGTGATGCAGTGAGAGCTCTCCACATTTTGTGCAGGATCCTGACCGGTGGCTATATATATGGCAGTCACGATGTTGCTGGCATGAGCATTGAACCCACCTAGAGCCCCCGCCACAGCTGATCCAGCAAGGTTTTTAATGACGTTTAGCTCTACTAGTGCTGAGACACTTGTCTTGAGAACTTTCTTCACGATCTCTCCCTTGATAATAGCCTCACAAACCACCGATTTTCCTCTCCCTTCAATCCAATTAACTGCGGCAGGCTTCTTGTCAGAGCAGAAATTTCCTGCACGGTTCAGAAAACTTGAAATGATAAGAAATACCAAACAGGAAGAGAGAGAGATTTAAAAATAGGCTTTCCCGCAAAAGCCGAGGAAACCAGAGTAGATTAATTGAGATATCTGATGAAGTTTAAGAAAATTTTAATATCTCAGTAGCAGGAAAGAAATACATCTATTTATGAATATGAATTTTACATATAAAATAAAAATGGCTTACTAGCCAACAAAGAAACTTAAGGCAAACTCGAGCATAATTACATTGAAAAAGACATGAAAGAAAAATTCAGAAGAATAGCTATGATAATAGTTAAATTAAAAGATAGATTTTGAGTTTCACAACATAGAAAACATATATGCTATTATCAATAAAATTTTAGAAGAAAATGAAAATATTAACAGGTGAAAAACTCAATTTAAGATATTTTAACTCAAACAAGTATATAATATAAATAACCATATTGTTAAGAAAAACATGAGATTTAAAATTGCTTATTATATAATACAATGATGATTATTCGTAAATGAATAAATTTAAGAGCGGATGAACAGAGATATTTCTCACCTGAGATACTGATGACATCCATGTCAGGGAAGTCATTTTGCAGGCAGTCTAGTACATTCTGCACGCCTTTGGAAACCATATTCATGCCCATTGCATCTCCAGTCCTGCAGCAGAATCTCATGTACAGATTTCTACCAGCTAGAGAGCACTTGATTCCTTGAAGCTTGGCAAATCTGCTTGAACTGCAATCACCATAGAAAAATGTTATCTCGATAAGCAACATTAATTATTATAGACATTTGAGGTTTGAAGGAATTCGAAGGAAGAAAAATATAACTTTTTATCCTAAGGAAATTAAAGGTTAACTGGATTTATGTAAGAATATTGAACAAAGTTATTCCTTTTCATTGATAATTCTCCACCCAATCTTGAAGAAAAACTAGAAAAAATTTCTAATGATTATTGTCCTGAAAAAAAAAGAAACAAAAACTAAAATTTTCATCAACCAAACAAAAAAGTTGTTTGGAGATGTTATTTTCTAATGATTTGAGAAGATGTTATTTTCTTCAGCACTTTTCTATTCAAAGATGTTGTTTGTATTGTTGCTGATGCTGATCAGTTAAGAGTTTTTTCTATTGGTTATTGTTTGGAGATGTTGATTGCTTTAGATCCGTTGAAGTTGTTGATTGTTGCATAAGATGTGCCGGGTTCTTTCATTTGGGTTTTGTTTGGTTCTTCCGAGCTTCCTCTTCGAGCTCTTTGATCTGTTTTGACTTCTTTTAGTTATTTAGTTGTTTATCTAGTCGATGTTTGTGTGGGTTGTGTTATCTCTTCAAATTGTATCTCTTTTTTATAAATAAAGTTGGGCGTGAATCTCAACTTTCCCCAAAAAAAATAAATAAATAAATAAAAATAGTATCAAAACAAATGGAGAGCAAACGAGATGAAAAAGACCATTTCAACTTCACAATTGAAATGAAAACATGCGCAATTTAAAAACACCAACGAAAACGCGCTTGGAACAAACAACTCAGTTAAAAAAAGAAAATTAATTTTCTTAAAAGCGGCCCCTCCTAGTATTAAATTGGTAAATATTATCTGCACTCCAGCTCTCAAGTAAGTATATTCAAGCAAAATCAATCTGAAAACGGAATGTAAAAAATAGGCTTCAGCCCAATAATCACAGGAAAGATTGTCGAACATACCGATCAAACACAATCGCAAGCGTCTCGAAATTTCGAGGATCCTCTAAAAAGAACTTGAGCTCTGCTGCCCTCTTGGCCGTAGCAAACCTAACGACCGGAGCCCTCGTCATCCCATCTTTGAGAACTACGCTCACTGCCCCATCAGACGCCGCAATCGCCTTGCATCCACGGTTTGTGCTCGCCACAAGGCAGCCCTCTGTGGTCGCCATAGGTACAAAATACTCCTTCCCGTTAAGTAACAAAGGCCCTGCAATACCTACAGGTAATTGAACATAACCCACCGGCATCTCGCAGCACTGCCCCAAAATGGAATCGTAATCGAATCCATCAAGGGGAAGCCCTTCCATTCCACGTCCCGTTATCCTACTGATAGCCTCTCGCCGTATCCCCGCCGCCCGCCGGCAATCCCCAAGCCTCGACTCGAGAATATAGGATGGGATCTTCCCGGAGACCACTGCGGAAACAATCTCTTCATCATCGCCAGAGAGCGGAGCGGCAGGGAGAGGAGGTTTCTCGGAGCAGACGAGGGGGCAGGGTGCGGGTGGGTTGCTGGGGAGGAGGAATTCGTCGTCATCGTCGTGGGAGGAGATGAAGGACTGAACGTAGGCGATGCCGAAGAAGCTAATAAGGTAGATTAAGGAGGCGATGAAGCCAACAATGGCAGAGATCTCGGAGAGGGTGACAACATGGAGAGGAGTGGTGGTGCGGATCTTATCGCGCCACCTGCACATTAGGTAGTAGATGGAGACCATGAAGAGAGCGGAGAAGAGCTTGTTGGTGTGCCGGATGGGAAGGGGCAGCGCATCGGAAGCCTGGACAGCAGATGCAGAGTCGGTTTCGGTCGAGAACTTCCCCGCCGGTTTTGAGGATCGGAGGGGGTTTGAGATTGTCCGGCGATGGAGCTCCATGAGGAGAAGGAAATGGGGAAGGGAGAGGAGAAATTAATGGAGTTACAGAACCCCTCTCTCCCTCTCTCTCTCTCTCTCTCCCTCGTTCTCTCTCTCTCTCGCTTTCCTTCGCTCGAAAACGCTGCGAGAAATCTGTAGAGAGGCCGAGGAGTTTTATAGGGTGAAACTCGCCACTAGTCCCGTGATTAATCGTTAATTATATTTATTTATTTTATTTTTAAAAATTCAATTGGTGCCTCTGCCCAGAGGTGGCAGGGCCCCTAATTTAGAAGCTATGAGTTAAGCTTGATGGTTGGACTCCTATTTTAAACGTCCCAAATTTTTCTAAAAAAAAATGAATGTACAAATTGTGTTTTAACATATTTATTTTAATTATGGCTGTCAAAACGGTTCATTGTTCGCGAATAACTCGTGTTCAGTTCATTAAGAAGCTTGTGTTCGGCTCGTTCGCTAAGTTAACGAGCCAATTTGTTCGTGTTCGGCTCGTTTTGGCTCGAAATACTACTAATCAATTATATATATATTAGTAGTAGTTAAAAAAAAGTAATTAACTACAATGCTACAAAGATTTATAATCAATTAAAAGTATTAATTAAGAAAATAGAATAAAAATTATTAAATTAGATTCAAATGATGTTTTAAATCTTGTCACAATCCTTAACATTTTATGACTAGGTGATTAGGGTTGTCAAAACGATTTTTTGTTCATGAACGGCTCGTGTTTGACTCGTTTGCTAAACAAGCTGAACACAAACACACTTTTTGTGTTCGAAATATGAACAAGTCAAACAAGAATAGTGATATTTTTTTACGAGCTGAACACGAGCTGAGCTTGGGCTCGCTCGTGTTCGCCTCGTTTACACCCCTAATCTCATGAATTTCAAACGATACTCAGACACCATTTTAATGCATGCAACCATAATGAAGTATGATGATATGAAAATTAGTGGTTTCTAGCTAAATAGTGATGTTCTCATCAAGTTAAATGTGGTTCATTAAGATTTGATTTTCAAGAAAAGAATTCTCATAGATAATTTCTGATTGATTTAAGTTATCAAATTATTCGTAACATTATTTTTAAAGCTGACAATCTATATAGCTAATAGAACTCATCCCATTAATTCTATTATTATTTATCTTTTTATTTTATTTATAACACAATATTGAATTCTAAGAACATAGTCATTATTCATCTTAAGATCAACATATTCCATAAAATAATTAAAGGAAACTTACGTACATACAACACAATTCTTATGCATTTACATATCTAACACCTAAAGTTTAATTTTTACACATATGATCGTTGTTTGCAAATAGCTCTTTAAAAAGCTCGTGTTTGGCCCGTTCATTAAGTTAACGAGCCGAACACAAACAAATATTTGTTCATTCGTGTTCGGCTCATTTTGAATCAAAATATTACTAATCAATTATATATATATGTTAAGTAGTATTTTTAAGAAATTTAATTGGCTACAAGGCGACAAAGAGTTATAATCAATTAAAAGTATTAATTAAGAAAATAGAATAAAATATATTATATTAGATTCAAATGATATTTTAAATCTTGCCCCAATCGTTAACATCTTATGACTACGTAATTAGAGTTGTTAAAATGACTCTTTGTTCGTGATTGGCTCGTGTTCTACTCGCTAAGCAAACGAGCCGAACACGAACACACTTATTGAGCTCGAAATATAAACGAGCCGAACACGAGCGAGCCTCGTTTACACTCCTATTTTTAATTCAATTGTAAATTTTTTAAAATTTTAAATAAAATAATGATTTGGAGAATTTCATCGAGGAATACTACTATTGATCAAAAGGGCACGTGTTGAGGAGTATATTTTGATTTTTCTTCCGTAAGGGTGAGAGTTCTTGAGTTCCGTTGAAAAGAGTGGCTTAAGGGTGGTGTAATTTGTACAATTATCTTCATTTTCTTTATAGTGGATTTTTTAGTGTGGCATGACTCTGCAGTTTTTCTCGTTCATTTCACATTAAATTTTGTGCTTTCTGTGTATTCTAGTTTTGTGTGCTTAGATTATAAATTTTGTTTTAGATCTCTTGAATCGGTTTTTTGCATCTCTCCCAGCATTAATAATTAATTTTGATGCAATTTTTAAGTTAAAATTTCTTAAATTAAAGTTTGGATTATCCAACCTCAAACTTAAACAAATTTATATTCAAATTAAATACCTTGAAAAGATGAATCCAACAACATTAAAAGTGGTCTAACCTTAATTAAAAAATATTAATTAAATTAGTATTTGAAGTAATGTTGAAAATTTTAAAGGATTAACTAAGAAAATCAAGAAATGACTAAATTTTATATGCTCATAATTTAAATCAAATATATTGGTGGGAGCAATTCAATAAGGTTAAGATAACACAATTTCAAAGTCATTAGGACACTTCAACTCTAAATGAACTGGAGTGATTAAGTGTTTTGAAACTTTAAAAAAAAATAATTAAAATAACACTCTCAATAATTATAAATGGAACCCATGTTTTTGGTTCTTTTTAAAATTTGAAGTCCTCAACCTATCTATTCATGGTCTTAAAATTCCTCGTTTTCAAAGAGCCTTCTAACCTGAACTATCGGAACGATTCGGAGAAGATGAGAGATCAAAAAAGAGGGAAATAAGGTGAAAATTATGCATGCAAATTAAAAAAAAAAATTTATGGAGAGCTCTTGTGCGGTAAATCTCGTGCGATAGGTCAAGTTTATAAATCCAAACAAGATCAGATCGAGATACATTGAACCGAATAACCATAAATGAATACCTACACAAGCCACGCATAACCAAAAAACCAAATTTGTGTATTTGTCCTGGGTTGGAGAGCACTCCCAAAGGGACATATCTCATTTGATTAATTACATATTGAGGGATGCCCAAGAATATTCTCGATTAAAGTAATCTTGCTTATATTCAAGTGAAGACTAGTAAAGGGTGTCACAAAGGATGTTTTGTTGCCTTCAAAGCTCTTGCTAAGCCACAAGACAGAGACTGATTCTCTCATACTTCAAATGAGTAGTGACTCATCGGCATATGAGACCCACCATATAACCAAGTCGACTCATAGAATCCACACTATACTTTAAGTGCCCAACTGAGCCAAAAGAATTGTGAGTCAATTATTGTATCTTAAATGGGCGGCGATCTATTTGCAATCGAGGCCTGCGAGACGAAATCAAAGAAGCGTCAAATGAGCGACAAAGCTCAAAGGGGGAATGACAAAGGAGAGGTAGAGTAATGTTAATCGGATAGAGGGGTCAGAATACCACTGATTTGTCATCTCAATCTATTAGGACCTTAAGTCTATATGGTCATGAAACACAACCAAAGATCCATTGTCAGCACTTTGTGAATTATGTCATCCAAGGGAATCTCGGTAACCCTAAGATCAAAAGAAGAAGACTCTAAATCCTATAACCCTCTGTTGGTAAAAAGTTTAGGTGTGACTTATACCTATCAAAGTATAAATCACTTAACACCTTAATCACACTAGAAAACCATCTAAGTAGAAACATATGCTGGGCCAGCGGGGTTGAAGAAGCACAGTGACTTCTCCTCGGGATATGCAATATGATGCAGTTATCTAAAGTCCTAAGTGTGACGGCTCTATTAGATATGAATGGGAATTTGCCCATGCAATGTAACTGGTTTTAAATCCGGCCCGAAGGCCATGAGGAAAGTAAAAGCAAGTTTTGAAAATCTTGTAATATTTTAATTCTAAATTTTGATTATTTTTAATCTCTTATTAGGATTTTGTAGAAAACTTATAATTTCAGTTTCTTAGAAAACCTAGATTATGTTTGTGTGATTCCCCGATAATTCATAAGGCAAAAAGGAGCAACTAGCAAGCACATTGAGCAATAAAGTAAAAAAGCTAAGTACAAAAGATGTTGTGAGATATGTACTTCCTGGCATAGAAATGAGACGAAAAAGAACACAAGCAAACACAGATCGTTTACGTGGTTCGATCCAACTGGATCTACGTCCACGGAAGGGAATCAATCAAATAGTTCACTAAGGCAAAAGAAATGGAGAATACATAGCTTATACATAGAGATGAGCCCTCATCTTCCTTCTATGACCTCCCTTTCAAGCGACACCTTGATATAAGGCCTCAAGATGCTCTCCTCCTCTCTAGCTCTCTAGCTATGCTCTCCTCCTCTCTAGCTCTCTAGCTATTCTCTCCTCCTTCGTGGTAGCTTAAGATCTCTTCCCTTGCTCCTCCTAAGCCTCACACCCTAAAGATTTCTTCCCTTGCCTCTCCAAAGCCTCACACCCTTAAGATCTCTTCCCTTGCTCTCCTAGACCTCACACCCTCTCTATTTATAGAAGCAAGAGAGTGGTTGGTGGGAGGTAGGTGAGCAGTAGGTGAACGGTAGGTGAACGGTGGGTGAGATGTGGTAGGTGAGCAGTACCACATTACAAAAGTGCCCTTTTACCTTAGTTCATTAATTGGGGGTCAAAATAACAATTCTCCACCTTGACTCTCAATTGAGAAGCTTCGAAGTAAAGATTCCCTCCACCTGACCCCTGAGGGGCCCTCAGCTCTTGCTTGAGTCTGCTAATTCCAAACAATACATGGACTTAGCAATCACGGTTATTCCGATAAGAGAGTACAACCCCTTTTTCCTGACTCCTTGTATGACGACACGAGGGC